TAACACTGAAATGCCTAAGCCACACAGCAGCTGAATCTGTTTCTTTTAAATATATCCAAAATTGTTTTAGTGCTGTATCAGCTCCCTTTTCATTTTATTATTTTTTTTTCTTAAGCAGCAATTTTCCTGCACAGTGAAAAAACTGGATGCCAGCAGGGTCTGCCTGAATGGAACTGTTACAAGTGGATATTTTTCAGCCTATGATTCCCACATCAGATCACATGTTAGAGCAATGGGCAGCCTCCATCCATCCTTGTGGACCATTCTGGGAAAAAAAATCCCCGTTGTTTGTTGACAGCTCTTTCAGGCAAAGGTTTGGGATTTTTGCCTGAGACCCTCAAGACATTCATGTGCAGCTGAAAAGGGTTTTGTCCTTTGTAGAAGTAAATCCTTTCTGAAAATCCAGCTCCTGATGTAATGACCCTTTGAATCCTGTTTTGTCATTGACAGCAGACTTGGTGAGTGAAAACAAGGACTTGAGGGACTTTCCCAGTAAAGTACATAAGGGGAAAATAAAAGTTATCTTGGTTTATAAAGGAAAGTAGAGTCAGACCCTCAGCTGCTGTGACCTGTGAAGAAGCTTTAATTTCAGCAAATTTAGAAAGCAGGTAAAGAAAACAAACCCAAAATATTTAAACTTCAAGAAATAATAACTACTTTATTAAAGACAGTGGAAAGATCATGATGTTCTTTGCCTTAATAGGGTTGCTCTTGGAGAATTTTACGTGGAAAGCTTTAGAGCTGTTGCTGTCTGGTGTTAAATCTTTGTTTAGGTTTTCTGTTGCCTTAAGTATACCAGTATCGATTTCTTGACACCTAAACCCATCAAATTCCTCCTCAGTCCCTTGTGGCAGGTGAAACTTTGCTGTTTTGGGTTTCATATTACTGATCCATATATTTCAGACTGGAGCTGGAGTCATTCTGTCCAGATTTAGATCTCCACAGTGTAGATATCCACAAACAAGCTGGCTGTTCAGAATTCCTTTACACTCTGGGAGAGGAGATGGAAGTTTGAAGGAGATGGTTAAAATAGGTCAGACAAAACACTTTCTTCACGTCTGCTTCTCTCTGTTGATATAAAAAGAGACTCGACAATGAGCTCATGTGTGAGGATGTCTCTCCTGGGTTTCTAAAATTAGGAGACATGTCCTAGGTCACTGAGGGGTTGATTTCCCAATTCTGCTCATAGCTGGTGAGCAGGAACATGAGGAAGGGGCACTGTGCCTTTTAAATAAATGATGTAGCTGGAATCCCACATTTGGGAATTTGCAGGAGGGAAATCGTAGAATGCAACGGCCTTTGCACCTTTTATTGAGAGCCTAAAGATAGAAAAATATTGGGTGTATAATGAAAGGTGTTCCAGCCCTCAGGAGAGCCACTGAGCTGGGCAGGGGGCTGAAACACCTCTCCTGTGAATTCAGGCTGAGAGTTGGGACTGTTCATCCTGGAGAAGAGAAGGCTCCAGGGAGACCTTAGGGCACCTTCCAGTGCCTAAAGGGGGTTAAAAGAAGGCTGGAGAGGGATTCTTCATGTCATTGAAAGTCCAAGGGGGAATGGCTCTAAATTGAGGGAGGGTAGATTGAGATTAGATATTAGGAAGAAATCCTTTCCTGTGATGTTGGTGAGGCACTGGAACAGGTTGCCCAGAGAGTTTGTGGACTGACAATACCTGGAGGTGTCCAGGGCCAGAAATCTGCTCTAGTGGAAGCTGTCCCTGTCCATGGCAGGAGTTTGGAATGACAATCTTTAAGGTTCCTTCCAACCCCAAGCCATTGTAGGATTTTATGATTATTACCTGTTCATATATTTTGCACCCAGTAATTCTCCACTCATGTTTATTCTTCATAGAGAAATGCTCTTCATGTCTCTAAGAAGTATTGGAGTAACTGGACATGGGGTGTTTGACTTTCCTGACATGTATTCAGTCTGCAAAACCTCAATTTCTCCTGCACCTTGTCAGGGCTTTCACATTTCCACTGAAACCTGAAAGTAGCTTGGTTGTGGGGCAGGAAGAGGATGTGGTGGGAGGCCCTGCCTGGACACTGGAGTGAGGTGAATTAAGTAATAAATTCCCATTAGATCATCAGTGGTCTAAACCATTGTGGGTCAGCTTTGAGATGTCTTGGTTTCCTTTCAAACCACTGGCACGCATCCCAGAGGACCACAACAAGGAGCCCAGCAGATCAGGTGGTTTCTTTTGGGTAAGATCTCAGTAAGAGCTCGTAATTGCCTTGGAAAGCCACTAAAAATATTCTTTCATTATCAAAAAAATTCTCATTTCGTTCATCCAGTGGGTACACTCTGCTATGCTGTGTAATGATTTTACCCATATTTGATATGGGGACTTTTTACCCTTTTGAGCAGTGATTAATTACATTTTTTATGCCTCCCTGGGAGTAGTCCCATCGTACCTAGAAAGGTCTCACTATGTGGTTTTGTTCATTGGTGACATCAGATTGTGCAGTTGACACTTCTGGGCTTCTCATGGAGGAATTGTCCTCACCAGCCTCCAGAGACCTTTTTAGATGGAGAAAGAAATGGGCACTTGCAGCAGAACAAGTTTTGCCAGAGCTTTTCCAACCTACCCTTGAAGCAACTCAGATACTTTCATCAAGAATCTGCTGTGGCACTGAGAGCATTTCCAGTGGACAAACAAATTCACCTTCAGAGGGAACGAATTATTTTCTTAAGTCACTAGGTGACCAAAACAATGTTCTTTTTATTTTTTCTTCTTTCTTCCTGTATATCAGCCATATTTGAAATAAACCCCTGAAACTCATTCTGTTTTGGCAACAATCAGCTGATTTTCAGATTCTCAGACACTTCAACAGCCCTTCTGTTTCACCAGAGATAACTGAATATTATTCTGAGGAACTGTTTATCCATAACTGAAAGGTGCAACCCCTCTGGTATTGGCTCTCCTGACTTCACTAATTTTAATTACAGTGACAGATGCAGATAAAACAACAACATGAAGCATCAGTTATGAAATTACAGGATTTATCAACCAGTGACATCAGAAGAAAATATAATCATTCAAGCTTCCCTTCCAAATCCAATAGTGATATATTTATTTCTCCTCAGTACTGAATGGTAATGTTTTATCAGCATTACCTATATTTTTAAAAAAGGTTTATTTTTGCAGTGTAGCATGGCTGATAGTACTTATTGAGGAGGTAGCTGGGCTTTAATTTGTGACAGAGGTAACTTCCCTTTAATTGATAATATAGATAAGTAGCCTTTAATTAGTAGTAGGTGGACATGCCAGGAACAAGTCAGCAATAGAAAAGGCTCTGATGCAGGTCCAGGGCAGTTCTGGTAGCTGTTTTTCCCTAATAAACACTCCAGTCTCTGTGGATGACATGAAGGCCTCAGCCCAGTATTTGGTGCAGGTTTCCATGACTACCTTGAAGGCAAAATATGAAGTAGATTCTTTTATTTTCCCTGCAATATGTGAAAGAAAAGCCACAAAATGGTTTGCAGATGCTCTTGTTGTCTGTTTAGAAGCTCCTTTGAAACTCAGACAAGACAGAAAACAACCACCCTCCACTTTTCAAACCTCGGGATTGCCAGGTTAAAGTCAAAAGAGTGTGCTCTAAAAGTCACCACTTTCCCCCAGGGCATCTGTATGTGTCCATCTTTTAGTCAGGCATCTCCCACCCTTCCACTGCATCCTGATCATCTCCTGATGCATTGCAGTGACAGAATGAGAGGACAGAATACAACCTTCACATCCCTCTCTGGCTTTCCTGGACCCAGCTGCACACAGGAGTGCAAATGATCAGGAAATAATTCCAAATCCAATGGCTGCTAATGCGTCTGTCTGGTTTTGTCTTGCTTCTGTTAATGGAATTCCAAGTCCTCGTGGCTGAATGTCACCAGGGATGTTTGCTGTCCTCCTCAGCTGAGATCTTATCAATTGCTCATTATTTGATAAACCATCAGAAATACAGTTAAGTAATTAAATTCAGTGCCAGAACAGAGCGTGAGCGACTGATCAAGTGAGGACAGAAGAAAACAGATCAGTTTACAGTGAATTTCATGAATCATTGTTCTCCCAAAATTTAGAGAGATATTAATTTTCCTGCTTTATTTTTTAATTGAAAGACTCTCTCCTTTCTAAATGCTGATGTCCTGGAAGCGTGTTGCAGTCAGTATAAAAACCTGAGTGTCCTTTGATTCTAAAAGTTCTTATACAAATCACTCCTTTACAAATCAAAGTAGGGTAATGAAAAATAAATCTGAATCTTAAAATACCTTTCCCCCAAGTCTTCAATCCTTTCTGGTCAGAGGCCAAGCAATGGAAGTCACAGACACAGGTGACATTGTTGTTCATATAAATCATTCCTGATTATGTCCTGGGTGAATCTTTCACCTGAGACTACAATTCATTCCTTTGCCCCTCTACTGCCAAGTTCTCAGAGAGGTCATTAACAAGCTTATTAACAGGTTATTAACAAGTCTGGTAATAACCAGGATTTTGGTATCTGGACAAACTGTTTTGGGAACCAGACCCCTAAAAAGCCCCCAGACAGTTTTGCTTTTAAGACAATACTGAAAATCATGAAGGGTGAACCACAACTTCAGAGATGAAGCAGACAGGTCTTTTTTTTCTTCAAAATAATCCACCCTTCCTTCTCTCCTGGGTTCAATTTAGGTGTTTGCAGCTACAGAACCCGTTCCAGCATTTCTTTGACATGTTACTGATCTTACAAAGTCCTTTGCCTTTTAATTAGACCAATGAAAGACCACCTTTATATCTGCAAGGCTGGTTGATCTCTAATAAGTGCAACTCCCACTTCAAGTGTTGGGTTCTCTGTTTTCTGTCCATTTCTTTTTCATTCTCTCCGTGGTTTATGTATCTATAATAATTTTCCTCTTTTGCTGCAGAGATCTGAGCCTTGACGTGAAGACCTCAACCAAAATATCTGCAGAGAGCCTGTGCTTCCCTCCTAATCACAGAGTTAACGAGCAAAACTTGTCCACAATTAGGAGAGAAGATGGCCATCAACTGGAAGGTCTGCTTGCTCAGCCTCGTATTGCTTCCTGTGGTAAGGAAAAATGATTTTATTTGCATTGTTCTGATATAAATACATGTTCTTAAGGGCAGCCCTTGCCAAGAGGGAAGGATCTGCTGCTGGCACTGATTCTGGATTTTTCTGGGTGGTCTTGTAGTTTGGGTTAAGACTTTTCCAGGCTCCTTTGTTAATGAATTAGGACTGTGATCACTGCTCATCCTGAGAAGGGCAACTCCATCCCTTGAGGGCATTTGTTCACTGTTTTTAACCAAGATTCAAAATAAAATGAAGTAATAATTAGAAAAAAAAATAAAAATAGTGGGTCTTCTGTTTCAAATCCATTGGTTTAAGAATATTTTTTTTTCCAGACAGAGGGATAAAATTAGAGATTCCCTTCATCCCCCCCTGTGAAACCTAAACCTCGAGATATTCCAGGCAGTGCTTTTGGAGGCCCCCATTTTCAGAGCAGCAATTTTAAGGAACAATACAAATGGGCCTCTAAAGATACTAAAGGCACTTAAAGCCATCCATCATCTTTCTGAAGATACCCTTTGTGAAGATGACTGGGATTAGTTTTCCCCACAAATCTTTTCTTACTAAACAACGTTCTCTTCCATTAATAACTCCGTGCTAACACGTCTGGGGATTGTAACTCTGCCTCTGCATGGTCCCTACACACAGTGATGCATCTCTCCTCACATAACAGCCACAAAACCACTGAACAAAGATATTTTTTTTCCCTTTTGTAGCTGTGAGGAGTCCTACACAAGCCCTGCAAGAACCTCTTGTTGCATTTCAGCAGAATTCTGTATTAAACTGTTGATCACAAATGTGCTTTTCTGCTCTTCTCCAGGAGCACTGCTCACAGGGATTCAGTGACAAATAGCACCAGGATTTAAATCCTCCAGCTCATTCCCACTAAGAGCCTTCTACAACTTCCATGCAAATGCTTTACACTTGCTTAATACATAGATATTCTCATGTTAGTTCACTTCAATAGTCAGGATTTGAAAGAATTTGGAAGAAAGTATTTGAACTAACGTTTTGTTAGTTTTATTTTTAAATGACAGCTATGTAATGTGATGGTGCTGTGACCAAAGCATCTTTTAGCAGTTTTTGCAGAGTATTTTTTGCTCTTGTGTATTATGTGGCCTGTCTCGTAGCAGGCAGCACACAGAACTTGTTTTCACTTTGGCACAAAAAAAATTGCATTTTCTTTCCTTTTGGCTCTTACTTTGATTCCATTTCGCTGCACATCGGAAATGGGAATGGGAATAATTCAGTGAAATTCTGTAGAACTGGGTTGGAACTGGTACCACAGTTGTGTTCATTCAAATAATACAGTCCTTTACATACAAATATAATTGGTCTTGGGATTTTTATCTAGAGCATGGTCCCTGTGACTCTTCCTTAGATTTCCTGGTCAGGTAGAAATGATTGCTTATTAAAAACTGATTATGTTTAATTTTTATAATACATCTCTAAAATTACTACTGAAAACTTCCTCTAAGCTAATGGGGAGAGGGAAAACCCCCCACATTTAACCTTAGTTAGGTGCTGATGCTCATGTGAGATTCCTGACTATAAAAGGAGTTTAGCTCAAATTCAGATGCTGTTTTTATTGACACAGAAGTGTTGATGACATGGATCCTGCCCTGGGAGAAACTGGGAAGCTGAATTCCTGGCCATGCAAGCATATTTTTCAGACTGCAACCAAAATAATTAAATGACTCAAAAGACAAAAGTAATTTCTGTTAAATGACCAACAACCTTCAGTATTTCAAGATTTTTGGTGCTCAGCTTGAGACCCTTGGAAGGTGTCTTGTTATTTAGAGGTGAACAGTTTTTAATTAAGGGAAATAAATGAACAAACCTCTTGAGCTCTCAGATGGGTGACCTTCCTGGCAGATGGAGAAGGACAGAAAATTCCCAGTTGCTCATGTTTCAGGACATAACAGTGGTTGCTGAGCTGGATAATTAGTGATCAGCTCCAGCTTGTGGAAAGAACAGTTCTTAATGAAATACCAAATAGCAAATCCAAGCTAATAAGAAAAAGACCCTGCTTTTTATTTGCTGCTCCTGCAAAGTTTGTGATCTTATTTATGATTATAAGGTTTTCCTTCTAGAGGAATCCAGATATTAAAGTTAATCATTTAACACAGATGAATTTGTCTGTTTGCACACACAGAGCCCACCACAGAGATCACACAATAATTTGTGTATAGTATTCATTTCACATTAAATCCCTACATTTCTTTTCACAGACCAAATTTCAGGAACGATAGAATGTCATTCATGTTCCTTCCCTTGCTGTGATTCTTTTGCAGTTCTTGTGGTAACACATTTTTCTCCACTGGGGCACACTCTTTCCCTGTGAACCATCTCTAATGTGCTGTGCTGACCTCAAATTGACACTTTCCTGTCATGCAGATTTTCCCATTTTCTACTAAGGGAGTGGATGTGACTTTTAAAAAATGTAAAGTAATTGAAATTCATCTTAGACTCCACAAAGTTCCTGGAAAAAAACTGTTTATATACTGTTTTCATCTAAGCACATCTGGTCAGACCCATTTCACCCACAAAAGCCCCCAAAATGATGTCCACATCCATAAACAAATCAAGAAAAGACAAAAAGAGAACCAAGTATGAATGGGAAATTCCAGGTGGCTTCAAGTATAGGCTCCGACCAGACAACAAGAATATAATTTGCAAAGAATTAATTAGAAATGAGTATTTTTAAGCCACTTCTAACTGTCAGAGTCAAGGGTGGTTCAGTTTTTCCTGTGTTCAACAGGCTGTTCTGCATTAACCTAACCTATGAACCCCTCAGCACTGAAGGCACCATGATGCCTGCAAGGCCTTTAGAGGAATTCTTCAGTCTTCCTTTTTTTTTTTTTTTTGCCATTTTAAATGCTGTCCTAGATTTAAATGCCTATGTTGATATTTTAGCTGGTTTTAACCCATTTCTTTCAGCTGGCTCAACGCTTCCCAGTCATTTCCATTCTTGGATGAAACTCTGAACAACCTGGGACAGTGGGAGGGGTCCCTGTCCATGGCAGGGGGTTGGAAATGGATGATGTTTGAGGTCCCTTCCAACCCAAACCATTTGAGGATTCTATTATGTCTTTTTATTTTTGCTTCTCAATTCACTTTCACAGGCATTTTGATTGACTTTGCATTCCATTCATCTGTGACAACATTGGGTTATGAGGTTGTTTTTTTTTTAATTGGAAAATATTAACAAAAGTCATCATAAAATTATGGCGGAGAAAGGATCCTAAACCATCGCTCCTTTGTCCAGTTCCAAATGTACTTGAGAAACAATGAGTTTCATGACTCACAAAGTTGGCTTGGTGTATGAACTGAATTTTAAATGTAACTGCAATGCAGGTGTTTTAACTGTCCAGAATAATTCCATCAGATGTATTTCTTCACCTAATACTTGGAATTTTTTGTGGGTACATATTTAATATTGCTAAGCTTAAATGTTTGCTGTGGTAGAATAGTCTGTGTAATGTTTGATTAGCTGGGAAGAATGTTCTCCTTTAAAAAAAAGAGAGAAATAAGGAGAAGGGAAGTCCAAAAATGCCTCTTGAATAACAACACTGAAGCGAGATCTCTGACTGAGGTGGGCAAACACAGATTTGGATGTGCATCCTCACCGAGCACAGGATGAAACCTGGATCTGGTGATAGTTCAGTAATTCATGACGAGGTGAGGAGAGAAACTGCAGTGTTTGCTCAGCCCCTCTTTACTGAAGGGGGGAATATTTCTCAATTTTCTCAGGGTGTGGACAGGCTAGAGAGCAGAGAACTCTCTGTATCTGCTATTATTCATCCCTGGCTGTCACTCCCAGGGCCAGGCTACCTCCAAATAGAATAATTTACATTTCAGCCTCTGTTATTTTTAAAAGCACAGTGTATTCAGACAAGACAATATTCTACAAGTTTCTCTCCCAGGCTGTAATGATTTTAAGCACAGCCCAAACCTGAGGCTCCTCAGGCACAGATAAAAAAGCTTGGGTTGGTCCCTGCTCTTTAAGCAAACTATTTTTCCATTCCAAGGTTTAATGAGAGAGCTTTTAATGAGTTTACCTGCCTGGTGATTTGTAGCATCTCATAACCCTGTTAGAGAAGTCAAGCTCTCTGTAGGACTGCAGGTTTCTCAAACACAGTGCACAGTTGCATGCGACTTCCCTGTTATTTATGTAATGAAAATATAAATATTTTATATACAAAGACAGCCAGGGAACTGCTGGAAGTGTTCTCCATAGGAGATAAAGACTCAGCTAACCAAGGCATTAATGCTGCTGGAGCTTTTCCATTTTGTAGGAGAAGCTGGTGCTGGGGGCAATCAGGAGAAAATAGCAACCTCTAAAAAGCCGTGTTTAAGAGAGAAAAACAAAGTCTTTGGATGTGTAACACCAGGTAAAGCAGTTTCAAAGAGCAGGTTCAGAACTCTGGTATCACAAAAAATCATCTGAGGAAATCAGCGTGGCAAAACCACTTGCTACCAACCAACTTCAAGGACATTTCAAAGGCACAAAAATTAGGATTTCAAGTCCCTGATGGTCGCTGTCCTGTCACTCAGGTGGGATAGGGACTTACAGAGAGTGCCAGAGTTCTCTCAGGGTGAGATTTCCACCTGACTTATCTCTAAATCTCAGGAGGGTTTTTCTGAGAAAACTCAGTGTGTTTACACTCCTGCCTGAGTATACCTGAAGGTGGTGGGAGGCCTGGATATTGTGTTGGTGCTCAGGTGCCAGTCAGGGTTGTTGCAGAAGCTAAAGAAAGACATCTGGTTAAAATTTTAACATGTTTTTCATAGAACTACAGAATGGTTTGGGTAGGAAGGGACCTTAAAGGTCAGGTAATATCCGGTGTCCTGGCAGGGACACCTCCCACCAGACCAAGATTTTCAGACCCCTGTCCAGTCTGCTCTTGAAGATTTTTAAGTTTATTTAGCTGATTTGCACAAAAGATGAATGGCAGGGGGAGAAAAAAGTCTAAAAATGGACATATTTTAGCAAAATG